GCCGGCCGGCCGCGGAGGAGGCCGATTCCGGCCTTCTCCATCGCGGCGGCCGGCCGCCTAGGCGCGATTTTTGCAACCATAATATATATATATATATATATATATATATATATATATATATATATATATATATATATATATATATATATATATATATATATATATATATATATATATATATATATATATATATATATATATATATATATATATATATATATAGTGCTTTTTAATTTATGAGTGAATGTAACATTATCTGTAATTAATATAGAGAAATTGTAATTATACTAGTGCATTCATTAATTCAAGGTGACGATGAATTTCCACTATTTCATTTCCATTTGCCCACTTCCACATACACATGCCACATTCTTGATTAATTCACACACATACACATGACATGCTTTCATTTCCTTGATTTACACCACATATGCATGCACTCACACAATGTTTTAATTCCTTAATTCCCTCATGTACCCCACACGTTTACAAATTATGCTTTAATCCACATCCATATGTTTTTTTGATCTAATACCAACTAACTAATATATATGTATATATATATTAAGCATACATGGTATATATTAAACAACTAATATATATTTGCATGCTTTATACTCTCTCTCTCTCTCTCTCTCTCTCTCTCTCTCTCTATATATATATATATATATATATATATATATATATATATATATATATATATATATATATATATATATATATATATAATGTGATCCCACTAAAATAAATATAGTATACAACAATACTGACACTATGTCCTTCCTGAGTCTATTGTTGCTTTTATTTATTAATATACGACCGTTTTATTTAATATATATATATATATATATATATATATATATATATATATATATATATATATATATAATAGGGATCAACATATAAATAGAAAAAAATCAATTATCAAAATATAATAATAACGAATTTAATAACTCTTTGTTTTATGAGAACTGAAAATGCAAACTAGAGAGCAAGAGTAGAAATCGAGAATTGAAAATTAAAAGTTCTAATTTTTTTTCAAATAAATTTTCCTCTCTTCTTGCAATATACTCCGTAATAGTTATGGAGTTTCAAAGTTGAGTTCAAAATTTAGACATTTTTTGTATTGCTTTACTTTTTCGAAACATTGGTACTCTGTTAAATGCTATTGGAGCTTCTTGTAAAGGTTATAATATCCTTGATGTGCTGCATTTTTCAATATCCAAGAGGTTTATTCTCTTGCTGAAAAACTAGTAGACACAAAGAAAAATAGTGCATATCCATTAGTTTTTTACTTGTGAAATTAGCTTTATATTATCGGTGACAATTGCAAGTGTTGAAAGAGATTTTTTTTTTTAAAAATTATTTAATATAATAATATTTTTGAGCTTCCATTGGTCAAGTATTTATTATTTTTATAGAATACAAAATTACAATTAAAATTAAAATTAAAATTTTGTATGGTTAATATAATCTCTAATTATGTGCATATTCAAATAAACTTATAGAGAGAATTTACATAATTACATTGATTTATTCTTAATTGTATTTCATCTATATTATAATTTTCACAATACGAATAATAACTAAGATAATTACATTTGGAAAGCAAATTTCAAATTTTGTATGTGTAAATTTAAACTCTAATTGAACACATTTTTTATATGATTATATAATATATAGCTATTTTATTTTTCAAAAGTATATTTTTTATATGATTATATAATATATAGCTATTTTATTTTTTAAATGTTGTACTTTTTTTTTAAATTTTTTATAATAAAGGATGCTGTGGCATTAATTGTAACATTAATTATTTCTCAAACCATATAGCTTTATTATATAAAGGATATTAAATTTAGTATATTGACCCATTGAATATGTATCTTAACTCCACCACTATTTATGGGAAAATTTGAATGAAAACCACCTCAAAAATTCACTATAATTCACTCTTTGATATGTACGAATCTACCTTGAGTTGGATGATTACAAATTTAGAATATAAGAATATTAGATGAATATACGCCCTGATAAAAATGTTGACATATATGCTGTTAATGACATCCTCCAACTCTTCAAGAGTCAGACATTTACATCAACTCTAATATTTTTTTATTATTATTGAGATTGAATTTTCAAAATTCTTTTAAAGATTTTATGAAAGAAAATTTGTAAAGGTCTCGTTACTTTCATGATTCTCATGTCATTTATGAATAATATGGTGCATGTCCCCAACTTTCAGCATTGTTTTGTGAAAGTGAATAAATTTATCGAAGGTGCAATAATGTCGATCCTTGAGCCTTTAATATAAAAAGAGTTAATTACCGAAATGGTCCCTCGACTATAGTGAAATTACCAATTTGGTCCTTGACTATTTTTTTTAACCAATTAAGTCCTTCAACTTTAAAAAGCTTAACCAATTTGGTCCTCCGTTTGTTTGACCGTTAGTCAACCGTTAACTTGGGACCAAATTGATAATTTCGCTATAGTCAAGGGACCATTTTGGTAATTATCTTTAGCGGTGGGCAATTCAGTTTATTTTTCTCGAACTGAACCGTATCAAACCGAACCGAACTAATTTGGTTCGGTAATATACCGAACAACCGAACGGTATTGGATTCTTGTATACCGAACAGTTCAATAAAAAATCGATCCGAATTGTTCGGTAAAAAATTGAACTGAACTGAATACCGTTTGATTTTTTTGAAAAAAATAAAAATAAAAATTAATAATAATAAAATAAATAAAAAGTAAATCCAAGTCCCATACTGCGTGCTCTGCCGTTCAGCTCATATTTTCATGGGTATCTTTCGTAAATGTTTTATTTGATTTCTTTATGGTTTGTTATCAAAAGTTATATATTATGTGTTATGGTGTTTACATAATCCATATCCAAAGTCTAATATATAACAAAATAGCAATCCAAAGTTCAAACGGTATTCGGTTCGGTTCGGTTTTTACTGAACAAATTCAGTTCAGTTCGAGTTTTTATCGAACCGTTCGGTATACAAGAATCTATTACCGTTCGGTTGTTCGTTATATTACCGAATCTAACTAGTTTGGTACGGTTCGGTTCGAGAAAACTGAACCGAATTGCCCACCCTTAAAGTTAATTACCAAAATGGTCCCTTGACTATAGCAAATTACCAATTTGGTCCCAAGTTAACGGTTGACTAACGGTCAAACAAACGGAGGACCAAATTGGTTAAGATTTTTAAAATTGAGGGAGTTAATTGGTCAAAAAAAATAGTCAAGGACTAAATTGATAATTTTGTTATAGTCAAGGGACCATTTCGGTAATTAACTCATATAAAAATCATGTAACTTATCATCTAAACTATTATGTATTTAAATATTTATTACCAATCAAACTAGCCCAACATTTCATATATAGTGGAGTCCACCAATCCATAGACCATATTGACATCAATTCAAATTAGTAGTTAATGGCATGGTCAACATTTGGAATTAAATGCAATTAATCACACGTTAATTTATAAGTGACAGTCTAAGCAGTGGCTTCTTAAAGTGTATCAATCATCATCAAGCAGAATGGACCGATATATCAATTATACATAAAATGTTCTCTAGTGGAAATTAAGTTTAAGCCATCAGCAATAGTTTCATTAAACGCACCTTAATTTATAATGACTCTCAAGATTAGTCAGTTAATTTAATCTTGATTAATATAATTTTTATACTATTAATAACGTAAAAATGAAATCAAATTATTAATATTGTTGTTACATTTTCAAATAATTTATGTATAATTAAATTTTATGGAAAATGACATTTTTATTCTCAATTGTGATTGTGAAGTAAAATTCAATTATTTATTATGTAGATCTAATCTCTAAATTCGTTACAAAGTAGTAAATTTTACACGTAAAATTAAGATTTCATTAAAAACTCAACCAAATCTACTACATGCTATGAATTAATGAATAGTATCACGAGTGATGAAGATCGCAAGTTGGTGTGTTTGATTAGAAAATGGGAGACATTTGGATAGAGAATATAGCTAGTGTAAAAAGAGCATTCTCTTTTCGTTTTTTTTTTTTTTTTTTTTTTTTTTGGTCAGATCACGAGATGTTCTGAACATACCCTAATTATAAGAGACACCTTTAAGCCCGTATCATACTCAGACTAATTTTCGTTTGCATCGACCCGGCCCAATTAAGGAGCAAAATGCTGACCAAATTAGTTTTTCCATACGAAGTAAAAAAAGCATTCTATATATTATTTAGAAATGAAATTTACACAATACACATTCTCAAATAGTGGTTGCAAATTTTCTTCATCACCAAAATAAAAAGGGCATTTTATATGCATTGGAAGAGATAGTTTAGTGAACAAAGTTTATTTCTTATACTTAAAAAGGTTAGGAGTTGTCAAGCACATTGTGCTCAAATGACATGTAATAACCTCTCCCATGTGGGAGATCATAAGATCAAACCTAAATAGAGGCATTATTGGGAAAGTATGTTTGAGTAGGGGTGACCACGGTTCCAGTTCCGGTTCAGTTCCGATTCCGTGGATGGCGAAACCGGAACCGGAACCTTATAGTAAGGTTTCGGTTGGAACTGCATTAAAAAAAAATTAAAAAAAAAAACACTAAAATATTCGATTTTTTCGGTTGGAACCGAAACCGGCGGTTCCGGTTCCTTTTCATCTCAAACCGTAACCGGAACCATATTGGTCCGGTTAGGAACCGGAACCGTACGGACGGTTCGGTTCCAATTCCGGTTCAACAGTGCACGGTTCAATTCGAACCGTAGTCACCCTATGTTTGAGTTCAAAATTTTTGCCAACATCCTCAAATTACAAGTTAACAGTTTTTCAAATAGATTGGCTTTTATCTTTAATTTTACAAAATTTAAAAATACATGAACTAAAATTAAAGTAAATTAACTAAATTGATTTTTTTAAAAAATGATATAGCATATCAACCTTCAAGGTACTTTAACCAAATGTAATAGATTAAAAATAAACATTAGTAACACCCTAAATGACATGACATAAAAAGCCAACTTGTTTCAATTCACTACCAAAAAAAAAATAAAAAAATAAAAAAAATCCAGTTATGACCAACACCAAGTACATATTCACAAAACTCAAGTACATAGTAGCCTAGGCTGCCAGATGCAGGGGTGACATTCAGAACAGTTTATCATGTAGTGATAATCAGCACGCTTAACCGACCCTCATGCCGGGAGATTGCAGAAGAGAGAAGCTCGAATGCAGATTATAGCTACACAAAACATATAGACAAGGTGTGATTATAGTAAAAGTAGAATCCAGAGAAGGTGTGGTTATAGCAAAAGTAGAACTACCTGTCCTAGGATTAGTGGCTTAATCCACTCAATGCTGAGGAAATCAAGAAACTTGACTTGGGTGCGCCAGAACCATAGGTACCCTGCAATTAAAAAGAAATTATTTTTCGTTAATCAAATAGATACAAAACATCCAAAATAGGTACTGCATAGGATTGATAATGGAGTATAGTGTTCTGTTGTTTTAGGATGGAGTAAAGATGTTCAAGAAACATTCTCTCAGCCAACTACTATTGCCCAATAATGAACCATCTATCATATAGTTTATTGTCAAGGATTTTGTACAAAAATGAAGCAACTGTAACCAAAGACACACATGACAAGGGTGCAAAATATTAAAGAGGTGACAGAATAAAGATTGTATTTTGAAATGAGGACACAGAATATTAGATAAAGATAGGAATGTGCAAGAAACTTGACTGGAAAGTTCATTACTCGATGAAGTAGAGTACTTACTGTGAACCAACTTGACTATGTTTCTTAGCCTTATTCTTGGATTTCCGTTTCCGTTTCTTTTCACCTGTCGGCTGCACAAATACAATCATATTGGGCTGCACTGGTGTGGGCACACATGTTGGAGGTATAATTGCTTGTATAGGTTCTGAATGTTCAAGAACTGGTTTCTTGAATTCATGGTGAGGAAGTTGAGGAAGTTGTGTAACTGGAGTAGCTGTATGTTGGACAATGCTTGATTGCTGACTAGCAGTGTTATTTTCCATTAAAACCTCCTTCCCAGTTACTCCAATAAGCATGTCTCCCGTGCTAATAGGGCTACAATCCTTGACTTTAATAATGCTAGCATAAAGCTTGACCTTAGATTGGATTATCTCTGAGAGGATGGTTTTATGTTCAGACTCTGCGAAATAGAATAAATGAATTGACAACTTTATGAAGAGTGCACAAATAATGGATAGCAATTATATTCGTAGTGTAGGCAGTTTACTTACCCAACAGTGAGGCAATTACAGCACGAGCTGCTAATCGTTCAGCCTCCTTTTTGCTTCTTCCAGCCTCCCCAATATAAGAACAACCATTAAAAACAACTGTAGACTTGAAAGCATGAGCTGATGCATCAGGCTGGACAGTATGATAAGTTGGATTTTCTACACTTATCTTCATCACAAGCTCATTTAGGATGGACTTGCAAAACATTTTATCCTGGAGAAGTGCCATAAAGGAAAAATCAGCTTTCAGACAGCAGAAAGACAGTGGCTGAAGACCTGAAGTTAAATTATAGCTTTCAGACAGCACCCAATAGGCACTACAAGGAGAATGTGGAAGTGTATGCACAGTGAAAAACGACATTACTTTATGCCATTGTTACAAATATAACATATATGAAAAAAGTCAACTTGGACTTTGTATTCGTTGGCAAATCAATGTCCCTGGTCCATTCATTTCCACCACAAAGTCCTACATAAACCATCAGAACTAAACTCAAAGAAATATAGTCTCCTTTGAAAATTAGGAGCATTCTGCGGAAGTACCATTTGTTTCTATCACAACATTATCAGGCCACTTAATTTCTAGGTGCTTTACTAGATTTCGCGAAAGTCTAAAATTGACCTGAGCAACTTAAACAGAATTCTGAAAGAGCACTACTATAATCACATCACAGGTTCTGTAAAGTTTCTTTCATATTGTACGGTTTATACATCTTATCATATTCATTTTATTGAGAGCAATACAAGAGCACCTAATTGATGAGCAATCATTTCATTTCATTAAGCATTGGTACCCTACTATTCTATTTAACTTTAACTTTAATCTTATACATATTGTGCATGCAACCCTAGACTCTCCCATAACTTTCAAGTCACAATAGAACTCTACAGAATCTGCAAGCCAATTCCATTCAAACAAAGCATATCCAAAAAAAATTGTACTAAAATTCATCTTCCATCTTGATTTTAGCAGTTAGATGTATATGCCCCAGAAGCCAATTTTGAATATAAATTTAGGCATTTTCTTATTATAGAAATGATATGATTAATGACATTTGATTTAGAAAGTGGGTAACAATTCAAATCAGATCAGTATCATTGCTTGAAAAATGAAAATATTTAATCTTATTGATAAGAGATTGCATGTTACTCAAATATCTGTAATCTACTTGTATCAATCAAAGCTAATTGTATGATGAGGAATAACAATGCAAACATAATCTTGAACACCTATGCGTATTCCATTCATGTTCAAGCAAAGACAATACTCATAACATATAGGATGGGAGTTCTGCTTTTCCATTATGAAGCATTTCTCCTTCTTAAGAACCAATTCACTCTGCTAATATTGGTTTAAGTGGATGGAAATTAAGTCTAATTTAGTAAGAACATTAATGTCCAAATCTATCATGTAAAACTCATGGAGTAAAGAAGTAGATCGTGGGATGGAAAATAGAAATGATCTATAAATGGCAGAATCTACCTGCTCTGCTATTAGTGCTATACTAGGGGAACCTACAATCAAATTTAAAGTATAATTGGATAATAGAAATGACCTATAAATAGCAGGCCTCAAGAAGAGTTTTGAGTTGAAATGGACTCACTTACTTGGATTGAATGAGTCTAAAATAAAGCCAAGCATCCAGAGTAAATATCTAAGACTGACAACAAACCTCATGAATATTATTAAGTAGCTGTAGTTCCTCTTTCTTTGTTATTGGAGGCATGCTCTCCATTGCATGTCTCGCAGCATCCTGTTCTGCAGCCTTCCGGTGTGCAAATGTGTTAGGAGAAGTATACTTCTCTCCGCCTACTGAGACTGTGCCTCTAAATTGTGGCGCATGTGGATAACCTTCATTGACTATTGCATACTCTGGGAGTGGCAAGCGTGCTTTTTGTGCATATTGTTGAAGGAGGCTCTTATGATTAACAGGAACATATTGAGTGGCATCTATTCAAGGAAAAGCAAAGGACAAACACATAGAATCAAGAACATTATATTAAAAAAAAAGAGTACAATTAAGACTCAGTTATGCCATATATGATTCAGCTCATAAACTAATAATAATACTAAAGCATGGCCATCTTGAGAACCATTAACAAAACTGATGAATTAAAAACTACTCTAAGCAAGCTAAACAAATTTATATATTTATTTATAAGCTTGATTAATGGGTTATTCACAGGAAGCTAGCCAAAAACGGAGATCTTAGCTAAAAAGTCTACAACAACAATGTAACAGCACAAATAACTCATGTAATTCAGTAGCTAGAAAAAAAAAATTAACAAAAACCTAAAAATCCAAATCCAAATCAGCAAATGTTGTTCAAAAACATGAATCTTCTAGAGGAGTTCAAGATCAAGCCTTTGACCACAAACGAACAAGAAAAATAGCGCTACAATCGAAGGATGTTATTTCTAAAATGAAAATACGCTATGGCGCTTACCTTGAAGTCTGCCATCGCCGACGGCAGAACTTTGATTCACCGGAATGTTCAGGCTTCCACTCATCGCCGGTGTAGCGACGTCTGGCAGCGGCGCTCGTGGATGCGTAGGGTTCAGCTGCAGTTCAGCCATAGAGCTAGCTCACCTCAGAAGCAAATTTTTGGAGAAAGAGTAGCTTTGGATTCTGTTTAGTGTAGACAGGTAATCAGATACACCTTTATATGACATTTGTCAATACGGATTACTATTTACTCCCTTGTCCTTTCCTCCCATCCTCCCTATTAATTCAAAATCTACAAATCTTACTCAATAATATTAGGTCCTTAACTGGAACAAAAAAATATTATTAGTATTATTTCTTAAAGGGGATGGTTCATATTATTTTAATTTTAATATATTTTTAATAATTTTTCTTATTTACAGTCTATTATATTATTTTTTTCTTTAAATAACCTTAAACCCCGTTATAATAAACTTTAGTAACGAAATATCCCGTTAATTATTTATTTTTCTTAATTTACTTATTAATAATTTCTATAAGAAAGGTTTTAGGTTCAGACCTCACCCAGTAAGAGTTGGCATAATTCTAAAAATATACTACGCATATGTTAAAAATACAATATAAAATTTAACATAAACTTTGGTCAAATAATTAGCTCAACTAAATACATAGCATTGAAAGTTGAGCATCAAAGGTTATAAATCAAGAACCTTGCAATCATTTTCTTGCATTAAAAAAAAAATTAGGTTTTTTTTTTGTTTAATTAATTTTCTTTTGATTATATTTTGAATAAGACTCAATATTCCAATTATGTTTTTGCATTGTTGGAATGATTTAGGTCATTATGGTATTAATATTATTGTATGTATTTCTATAATGGTACAATTGTACATTATTTTACAAATATTGTATTATTATTTTATTTTATCGTACAGAATTGTTCTTCCATCATTGTCATACTTGCGCGACCTAACTACAAAGTTGTTGATCAGAAATACAACTACATCTGAACTCAAAAGCGGTGTGACCATTCTCCAAAGAATTGACAATGTTGACATCCCACTGGCTCTAATTCAACAAGTTTACACATCATTCTCAGAATTTTATTAATGCATGAAAAGTGAAAACTTATGAAGAAATTTGCAAGTTAATTTTTACTATATAACATTATAACAATATCTATTGTAACAATATATTTTGAATTATTTATTATCATCATCTATTGACAGCAATTGTAGCAACAAATACCCTACTTTATTTATTATTACTCTTATTAAATTAAATAAATTAGTAGCTACAACAAAAAATAATACATATACATTTAATTAATTTATAACTAGATGCCTATATTGCCTTTATTCAAAAATAAAATTCATTATAAAAACAGATATAATTTCATTAATTATATTATATTTATTATTTTATTTTCTACAATTCAAATATTCCATGCCTTCAAATTCATGAATTAATTATATTCACTACATTGTCATTGTCTTCTTTTTACAATATATTGTAATTAAATATCAAAGTTATAATACAAAATATGTTATATATTTATTTGCCAAGTATTTTATACAAATATAATAAATATTAATATTTTGTTCAATACTTTCACATGATAATTTACGACACATATCTCACAACACATGAAACATATAGGAAAAAAACTACCACTGTCAAATATTAATAGACGCTTACTACACTATAATCTCAATCAAATATATAGTACAACTAAGACCCACAATCATATATACAACAAGACAAATCTAAAACCTACTACACCATAATCTCATTACATGACGCTGCTTTTTATGCTACCACTAGTAACCCAACTGCACATGACACACTACGAATAAAAAAAGATGATGACAAGTATTGAAGATGAAGACAATGACAATACTACCCAAAAGAGAATAAGAAGACTTAGAGAAATTTAAATCGAAAGTAATATTTATTTAGACTATCATTTTTAGATTAAGTATTTAAACTAGCGTTATTACAAAGTTGCAAACATTTATTATAATGACAATTATAATCAATCTCTCATATATTATCTTGCATTTATATATATTTTGAATTACTGATTTAAATAAACAAATTCAACATTCAATTACATATGCATTAGCATATCTTATATATAATCTTGCATTGATATACTCCAAATTATTTATTTAAAAATAACTATTGGACATTATTTCATTCGCGCAATGCGCGTGAAAAAATTAGTTTTTATTATTAAACACAAAAAGGAAAATCAAATTAAAAAATAATATATATATATATATATATACACATATATATATATATATATATATATATATATATATATATATAAAATTTAATTAATGAATATTAAATAAAATATAAAAAATGAAGCATAGAGTATTTTTATCCAGTTGTATCAATCGAAGAATAACTTTACTTTTTAGAGTTATCGAAACAAATCGACAGTTTCACCATAGCGACATAGCCTGCACTTTGGCAGGACGGGCTTAACTAGCCTAAGAAAGGCCACCCTGTCCTGCCTTAAGCTCGGGAGGTTATGTAATATTTTCTGGAAAAATTATATAGGTCATGTTTGATACCATAGTTAGCTTATGGGTTAATTTTAACTTGTTTGATAACTATTAACTGTTTGATTTGGTTAAACAATTAATATGAGTGTTTGATTAATTGGCTTTTTGTAACAGCTTATTATTTTAAAAAGTTAAAATTTAAAAAGTTGCTCAAAGCAATTTTTTCGATCAGTTGTTGAGAAAGTCATTTTTCATGTGATAAGCTATTAGCTAACAACAAATTTACAAAACATCTTTCTACAATCAGCTAATGCTATCAACTAATCAAACTCACTAACCCAATCAGCTAACAGCTATTTATCAATCACCCCCATAACTTGAATCAAACATAAGAATCTTATATTTCTAGACAAATATAACATTGATTATCTTATATAAATTGAACCAAACACCCTTTTAAAACAATAGGAAATGGGTCAACAAGATTTTGGACCGCCCTCTAGTAATGTTGAGCACTTGAGCCTAGTGAACTAAGTGAAGCTGACCAGAGGAGCAAAAAAGTGCAAATTATGCTGTGCAACCGTGTGCACCCAAACGAAATTGTTTACTGTGATGGAGTAACGGTGCTATTAGTGACACCGTTTAACTCCATCAATCAAATTATTATTATTATTATTATTATTATTATTATTATTATTATTACAAAAATTCTAATCGACGTGTAATTATGAATATATAGTTATGCAAGTCTGAATATATAATTATGAAGTTATGGATACATGAACATGCATGGTTCTCTGTGAACAAGCACTTTAAGAATTCTGAATATGGAGTTATGTAATTATGAATGTCTAGTTGTGAAATTATGAATATATAGATATGAAATTATGAATGTGTAGTTATTATTTCTGAATGTACTGTTGTCAAATTATAAATATATAGTTATGTAATTTTAGACATATAGTTATGTAATTCTGGATATATAGTTATGAAATTGTGGATATATAGTTATGAAATTGTGGATATATAGTTAGAAATTATGGATATATCCTACTGTTTGAATACGAAAGGAAACCACCTAACGTCGTTAGCAACGATCCGAACGAAATTTTTTTTAAAAACGAAACGACGTTGTTTTGCAACCCCTGCACCATGCATGGTGCACACAGTTGCATAGCATAACGATTGTTGAGGTCTTCATCATGGGCTTCAGAACACTTAGGAAATGGTTAAGGATTGTGAGGAAGAAATTTCAATTGTTATGCCATGGACACAAGTGGATCCAGATCCAAAACGACGTAGCTTTGTGCGTCTGGAATAACGGTATCGTTAGTGACATCGTTTCTTTTGCCAATGAATATTTTTTTTTTGTGTGAATATACAGTTAAAAAAATTGTGAAAATAGATTTAAAAATTGTGTTATACTGTTGATATAATTGTGAATATAGCGTTCAAAAATTGTGAATATAGAGTTCTGTAATTGTGAATATTGAGTTCTGTAATTTTGTATATTCAGATCTAAAATTTTGAATATTCAGTTCTAAAATTGTGAATATAGAATTCTAAAATTGTGAATATAGAGTTCAAAAATTGTAAATATAGAGTTCTGCAATTGTGAATATTGAGTTCTGTAATTTTGTATATTGAGATCTAAAATTGTGAATATTCAGTTCTAAAATTGTGAATATAGAGTTTAAAAATTGTGAATATAGAGGAACGAATTCTGAAGACAAACAGCAAGGAAGGAAGCAATTTAAAAAATAAAAATAAAAAATTAGACGGCATCATTTGAAGCAAAACGACGCCATTTTGGACCCGGGTCCACCTTGCATAATTTGTCAAGAAATTTCAATCATTATTGTGTGGACCATGGTCCACACAAGTTGTATGGACCATATTTTGTCTACTGTAAAATAATGTACATTCAGTACAAAAATAACGTATATTCAGTATAAAAATAATGTACATTGTATTCAGGGGATGTACATTATTTTTGTTCTGAGTATACATTATATTATATGATGTACATTCAGTACAAAAATAATGTACATTTAATATATTAAAAATGTACTTTTTATTATGGTCCACGTAACATTGTGTGGACCATGGTCCACATAATAATTTGCCAAGAAATTTCACTTGGGTCAAAAACTTGTTGAACGCAAGTGTTGCTTTGTAGGCCCGCCCATTAAGATGAGATTTATCTTCTAGAATAGTCGTGGGCTTGGCAACCCGATGATGGTTCAAATCATGATGGACATGGTGCACGTTAATCTTATTTTTATCCGAGACTAGGGCAAACTATAGTATATAATTATAAAAATTTTTAATGACCTACATATTAAATAAACTTTTAAACAAACTTCAAGGGAAGGTCAGACCAATTGTAATCTTAGGTTTAAACCTTTTAAAAAAAAAAAAAAAAGGCATAGGCCCTGACTCGGCCTTAAATTTTTATAGCAGGCCCAAGTCTAATTTTCTAAAACTCATCTTAGCCCGCCCTATTTTCATCCGCAAATTATGTTGTGCAACCGAATGCACCTTGCAAGGTGCATACGGTTGTAAAACGGCATCGTTTTGGTTAAAAAAACGCGCGTCCCACTTAAAGAAAAAATCAGGTTCGATTCCCGGCAATAGCATTTTTATATATTCAGAAATTCATAACTATATAACCACAATTTCAT